CATGGTAACAGACCTGTAGTCTAATGAAGCATGACGCTTCCCAGGAAACGTGTGTGGCGATTTACTTGCTGTTGAACCTGACACAGGTAAGTGCAACCTTGTTTGTTGATGATGGATTCCCCTAAACAAAGAAGTCAGTGCTGTTATTTTATTATTTATATCATTTCTGCTTATTTAGTATTACACATTGTATTCACTGCTACTCAGTATTGCCCAAAAAAGGCAATATTTGCTTGTTTCAACTCTTTATTTCTTTGTAACAACTGTATCAAGACAGTAATATGCAGTAATAATAAGAAATATAATTTTGCTCAAATGTGACAGTTCCTTAAGGCAGTCTTTACGATGATTAAATCAAAATGTTTACCAACCTGAAGATCCTGCCTGTTCAAACATTTTCCTTTTGTCATCTTCATCACAGCACTTCTCATGATGTTGTTTCATTCAGGCCACCAGGCCTTGCATTTATTTGTTGCAGTGTTTGCATTTGCATGCCTGCCTGCCTTACCTATAGGTAGAGGAACTTCATTAAAATATTCCCAAGCTAGGTGTCTTCTACGGCCTGCTGCCATTATAGGCTGTCTTCTCCATGGAAAGAATAATATGATCAACCTCAGGCTATACACACAAAGATCCAAAGACTTGTGGAGTATCTTGCTCAAAAGGTTTCACTTTCATTTTTACTGCTCCTCACTCTTAGCTTCTTGTGCAGAGTTGTTCCACTCCCATGAATCTTCTATTCATTGATTTTTTTTTAATTTAGCATTTAAGAGGTAAGAGTTGCAAAGGAACAATGGGATTAAGGTCTTTTTCTCAACTCTGTATGTTTATTTTATAACTTTTTTGCTGTGAAGAAGAGGCATGTGATCTCTGCAGTCACAAATTTACCGTTTTGAGAACTGTAAAACAACCATCTGTGATATCATCTAGATAGAAAAATTCCCCAATAATATTACAGAAACCTCTGGAAGAGCATGACATTGTGAATGGATTAATGGAATTCATTTACCAAAAAATTTAAACATTGCATGAATATACAGCTTCATGCTATATAATTAAAAACTAATTCTTATTTCATGATGAATGACCTTTGGACTATAATGTATCTTAAGTAGAAAACTATATTTAGATAGATTTTCCCTCAAATAGCATTTTATGTTTTAAAAAAATCCAATTAAAAAAAAACATTGATTTTTATCTACCCTGGTTTCTATTACATTCATTACTGTTAATGTTTTTTCCACTTAGAAGAAAGGTGAAAGGTCTGTCATATTTTGTTCTGATTTGTGTTTTGTAAACAACTTATTGCTTGTGACCGTCATGTATCCGCTGTGCTAATCTAAACAGTAATAAAGGAATATATTTAGGACATCTGTGTTTTTTTCCAGCTCTGATCAAATACATTCGACCTGTATTTGTATCTCGATCAGATCAGGATTCCCGAAGAAAAACTGTGGAGGAAATAAGACGGCGTGCTCAGTCAAAGGGCAGATGGCCGCAGGTAGGCTGTTCTGTGATATAACAATATTGACTGATTTCGCAGTAATCTGTTGTTCCTCCTGAGAATGGCATTTCTGTTCCGAAATAGATTTCTTTCCCCTCTAAGTTTTGGATATGCTTTTAGAACAAAGTTTCAGCTTAATTTTTCATTTCTTTAGATATTTATGCCTTCTCTCCAGGGAGGTCCCAGAAGCTTATAGAATTGTTCTCCTTTTCTCCGCGGCCCCTCAATAATTTTTTTGTTCTCCCATGCTCCCTTGAGTAATACTGGTTCCTCCCACATAAATACTGGAGAATTGCCTTGCTGGATGCAACCAAGGCCCATTTTATCCTAGCTTTTGTTTCTAATAGCAGCCAGCCAGATGTTTTTGAATACACACAAGATGAACTCTTCTGTCATCTTCCCCTGTTCACAACATTTATCTTCAAACTATGGGTCTTGGAGCTCCACATGCTGAATCCTGAGCCTCTGCAAAAGTTGTCCCTTTTTGCGCTGCTTTGGAAGGACCAGCTGCTGGTTTCTTTGCATAGAGAGCAAGGGTGCCCTGCAACAGGGAAACAAGATGAAGTCACTCAGCAGTGGAGAGGATTAATCATGGTTCTGACCCTTAACATATTCCGCACTACAGTAGTAAGTCCACCCAGAGATCTGGCCTTGCCACAATATTCCACACTACAGTGGTACCATCCTCTTGCTGTCTAAGTCCACCCAGAGATCTGGCCTTGCCACTGATTAAGTTCTAGCTGCTCATTTTCCTTTCATGTGACTGTGATGTCATATGCTTATAACTCAGTGGTGTCTGGGTCAGGAAAGGCCTGGAAAGACCATTAGTGTACAGGGTGAATAAAAATCTACTTTTTAATGTAAAATAATGGATTTTTGTTAAAAATTTCAGTTGTTTAACGTGCACCTTTAGAACATTCTGGTTTAAATTGATATGCAGTCTGTGTTCAGTTCTTTGTCCCAATTATATCTTCACTACAGATTTATTTGTTTAAAGGTTTATTATTTTGATTGAAGAATATAATTACTAAGTTTTACCCTTAAAACACTACTTGTTATTGAACATTAACGGTGTATGTGGTAGATCAAGATGGGTAGCCGTGTTAGCTGTCTGTAGCAGTAGAAAAGAGCAAGAGTCCAGTAGCACCTTAAGGACTAACACAATTTGTAGGCTTTTGTGAGTCACTGCTCAGTTCTTCAAATACAGCTGGAATGTGGTTACATCTGTCCTATATATTGGAAAGTGGAGTGATTTCAGATGCCAAATGGCATTAGCAGGCAAATAGCAATAGCAGGTATGATTGCATTAGGTGTGATATGCAGAGAGGTAGTAAAAAGGTAAAGGTTTCCCTTGCTCGAAAGCCAGAGGTAGTAGGCGTGGAGAAATCAGCCTTGGTAATGAGACAGGAAACCTAGGTCTCAGTTCAGTCCATGTGGATGCATCATCTTGAGCTTCGTTATCAATTGCAATTCAGCAGTCTCACTTTCTAATTTCACTTTGAAATTCCTTTGTAAGAACTGCTACTTTTAGGTTAGCAACTGAATGTCCCGGAAGGTTAAAATGTTCCCCGCTGGTTTTTGAACGTTGTGATTTCTGATGTCAGACTTATGTGTGGCAGGTAGCATGGAACTGTAGAGTAGATGCAGTCCCGGATCCAGAAGACAGGGTACATTAAATTAAAAAACAGTGGATGGGGAGGCAGATCAGCATCTATTTGAGTTCATTTAGGTCTTAAAGGAGAAAAGAATGATTGTTTTACATATGAGTTGGGGGGAAAGGCATTTTTGTCATACCCACTGCCTTTCCAGCGGTGGGGGCTGTTGGCCTTCCAAGTCTGCGGTTATAAGAGAGCTTCAGAGATGACCTGGAAGATTCCAGAGATTCCGTACATTCTCTCACAGATCACATGACCTTTGTAAAATGCTTCCAAGTATAATCTGAAGACCTTCCTGAAATCAAAAAGCAACCTGGCACTTTTTAAACTTTTCCGCTTCAAAGGAAAAGCAAACATGAGGAATGTAGTCAGACACCACAGCCAACCAACAACTTACTTGTGATGTAAATAAGCCAGAGTTTCTTAAATGCCTGCTCCCCCTCCCCCCAAAAAAACATTCTGGTTTAGGAAGTCTTCCATCTAGCCATAATTTGTTGTAACATATGAATTCAGGCACTGTAACAAATGGAGATTTGTTTCTTGACCTCACCATGGGATTCTAACAGTGCCAGTTTAAGTAGAGTCACACCCTTCAAAGTCCATTAAAATCAGTGGGATTAGAAGTGTGTAACTCAGTTTAGGATTGTCCTGTAAATCACAGTTTATTCTTGGTTTAGGTTCCTGGTCTTTGAGCAAGAAACAAACTGCAATTTGTCAATGCACCTGAATTCAAACATAAGAACAAACTGGTTTGATGGAAGACATCTTGGTTTAGAAAGTCTTCAGTCTCAGTGCAGTACAAAGGAGAAAAGGAATGGGAGAACTTGTGGCTCATTTGTATCACTAATAAATTATTATTTGTTTTGTCATGTCTGAATGCGGCCAAAGACTTCATAGACTGCATTCAACTAGTTTTTCTGCTGGTTAGAAAGGAAGGAGGAGTCCCCTTTGACCACCAAAAAATATTGTGTTCGGAGGATCATGGGCCCTGCATGGACAAAAGCCATGTGGGATGTGGGCTGTAATAGGGATAAAAATCGGTTAGGATAAAATGAAAAAGTTGGCTGGAGCCAATCCTGTGTTCTGTCTTTGAAACATAAAATTCTTAAAGAGATCCAAAGGATGTACTGTACAAAGTAACGTATAGAAGATTGGGGGGTTGTGTTTGCCTTTTTTAGATAATGATATTCCCAGAAGGAACCTGCACCAATAGATCCTGTCTAATTACCTTCAAACCTGGTAAGTTTAATCCTTCCTCTCCAATGTAATTTGCATACTGTCAGATTTTGCAATGTGGAATTTATTGCTCGGTATACAGCTTCGTCATACACTAAGCAAACTCATGTTCCTTTTGTTTCTACAATGGATGATTGTTTCTGTAATATTGGAAAGGTTCTTATAAGTATGAAATACTTAGGTAAATATAACAAAGTTTGAGTCCAATGGCACCTTTAAGACCAACAGAGTTTTATTTAAGGTGTAAGCTTTTGTGTGCAAGCACACTTCCTCAGACAAATTGAAACAAAATTTCTTCAAGCCTTACATACAGGAAGATGGGCAGGGGGGAAGCATCAGGAAAGACCATTCAGAGTTAAGATGCAGATGTGAAGGTGAGATTGGATCAAGGTGGCAAGATGAATGAATGGCAGCAAATGATCGCACAAATGCAAGAGCTAACAAACATATGTGAGAATGAAGCCTGAGTCCAGCGGCACCCCCAAGACCAAGTAGTATGTAGTAGGTAAACATACTCCACGAGGTATAATTGGCCAAAGCTCCTGGGTACAATTACTGTATATCTTCAAAAATGGAAATATTGCATAAAGTCATAGTCCACAATGAAACAGAGAAGTGGTATTTACTGAAATGTGAAGTAGTTCTTGCATTTACTTATCACTGTTTTAAAAGAATATCAGTTGAAAGTTTGTCTAATCATATAATTAGTAGCATGGATTGTGGAATACTTGCATTGCCAAAAAAAGTAATAGTTCTCTTATTGAGGTAGCTCAGCAGTTCGAGACCCTGGTGCCACATGACGGAGTGATCTCCCGTCTCTGGCCCCAGCTCCTGCCAGCCTAGCAGTTCAAAAGCAAGAAATTGCAAGTAGATAAACAGGTACCACTTTGGTGGGAAGGTAACAGCGTTCCGTGCACCACTGCGTTTAGTCATGCCGGCCACATGATCACAGAAACGTTTTCAGACAGCGCTGGCTCTTCGGCTTGAAAACGAAAATGAGCACCGCCCCCTAGAGTCGGATTCAACTGGCTTTCAAGCAAGGGAAACCTTTACCTTTTACTGTCTATGATATTTATAATCTGAACATGTATGTTCTGTGACAATAAAATTTAAAATGTGTCTGTGCTCACCTAGTAGTTAATTTGGGAAAGCAAAGGTTTGTCTTCAGTTTTCTGTGCCATCCCACATCAGGACTGCACAAATCTGCCTTGGAAAGAACTTTTTCGCTTCCAGCATTTGAAAATGTGCTCCTCCCACATTTTCCCAGTGAAAGCATCACATGCTATGAGGGAGGAGCACCATTTTCCGTCAGTTCCGTTTTAGCCGCCGTGCTGAGAAGATGTGTTCTAGCTTCACTCTGTTCTACGGATCTTTTTCACTGTCTCTAATCACTCATTTTACTTTAGAAAAGAGCCAGAGTCCAGGAGCACCTTAAAGACTGACAAAATATGTGGCAGGCTATGAGCTTTCATGAGTCACTGCTCAGAAGGCATTCTTTAAAAAGTGTGCCCACTGCAGGACCAAAATGACCCAAACAGATGAGCAGATCTGAAACAGATTCTCTACCTAAACTGTCTGGGATGTTTGCATAATACCAGTCAAGAACCAAAAGGGTGAGAAGAAAGTCTAATGAAGGGCCAATGTTAAAACTTATAATATACAAAAATACAAGTATTTATTAGAAAGGCAGTTAAAAACATACATAAGGACCCAATGAAAGCCTCTTTAAAAAGTATAGCCTAAACACAAGGGCCAGTACACATGACCTGATGCGTTTCTGCCCTATTGGGGCCTTCTTCAGAGGTCTAACAATATTGAGGTACACATAACTTAAATACATATTGCAATAAGGTAACCAATAAGTTAATATTGTACCAGGAAGAGGAAGGCTGTAGAGAAAAGAGATAAAAAGAATATTGAATATGAATAATCAATTTTTTTTTTAACTTACAGTGTGATAATAATGGCTATATTACTTAGGCAGCAAGATCTAAAGACACATGACAAAGATGTTTGTGAGGCCTTAGAAGGTGAAAGTCGTGTGTCTGGTGCCAAATGCACAGTTGCTGAATTAGAACATCTAAAAGATAAGATATGTATAAAAAGCTAATGCAGTAAATAGAAGCCAATATAATAGCAAAGATTAAAAAAACAACAGTATACACATTACCTTCCAGATCTGAAACAGATTCTCTGTCTAAACTGTCTGGGATGTTTGCTCTGCCAACAGTTTACTCCCAAAGGACGGAGTGATAAGGCCTCTTTTCTCAAGGCCACACTTTGGGAAAATGCTCTCTCAGGCTCTGACAAACCAGCATCAAAGTGTTCTGCCATGTGGGAGCTTTCTTCAAGGATGGAATGGACATCTTCGGTTCCCCTGGATCCTCATAGACACCATTCCAGGTCCCCAGATCCATCTGCTCCACATGAGAGTGTATCGGAACTGTCTCTGACGAAGGTTAAACAAAGTCCAAACATCTCGAGAAGGGATCCAGCTCTTCTCAGTCCAAACAACAGTCGAAGCCTTCATCAGTTCCTCCACCAATTCCTCGGACTCTGTCTCCACATCTTCAGGAACTGGAGGACTCACTGATGGAGGGTGAAGTCTTACCTGACTTTCCTTCTATTGTCTCATACCATCTAGAGAGAAGGCCTGTTCGGGTCCATCACATTCAAGCCTCCCTCAGCCAGTTCCAACTCAGCCTTGGCACCCTTTCGATCAGGTCCGTGGGCATCTTATCCCTACCCACCTTATGCACCTACCTGGGGAAATCATATGCTGGTCCACTGGTGTATGCGTAGCCATCGATCTTGGAACCATACAGATCACTGCTTCAAACTTTGAAGGACCAAGAAGGTGTGGCAGTAACACCCAAAGAACAGTTTCTTAGAACTTTATATTCTTGGACTATTTAGAGTCCTGCATGCTGTCACTTAGGGCCAAAACTGGTCATGGAATTGTAGTCTGCCTTGAGGTGGCTAATAAATGTTTTAAATAAATACGTTCATAAATGATGGTGGGGCAGCCATGACCAGATTTTTGGATGGTTTTTAAAGTATAAATAATAGTTCCAGGGAACACTTGGAGGTGACAAATTTCAGAACATAATATCTGGAAGAATGATTATTGTCTACACAAGCAACACTTTCTTTGCTTGTTTTATTTTTAAGATAACAATAAGTTGATTCTGTGAACGTGGGAAGATTATGAGAGGGAGGGCAGGAAGGGTTGCATCAATGCTCACTTTTTGTCGCCCTTTCTTCCATGCCCAGAGAAATGCTGATCGCCACTTTGGGGTCAGTAAGCAATTATCTTCTTCATGGTCTCTGTGTATCACACCTCTGGGATATAGTGCGCCTGCGCCGACCTCGATCGGTTCCTCTTGAAAGCGAAAGGGATTTTCGCACCCACTCCCCAGTCACGCACCGGCCCCACTGCGCATGACCAAGGGAGGGGCACAACAATCCCGCCAGTTCTCTTCTGACCGCTGCGCCGGTAGGATCTTCTCTGCTTCGGTCGGTAAAAAAATTGGGCTTTTAGGCCTATTCCTCGTTTTCTTTGAAGTTACTTCATTTTTCTTCTTGTTTACTTTTGTTAAGTGAAAGGACTTTGTTTCTATGGATTTATAAGTGAAAGGACTTTGTTTCTATGGATTTATTTCCTTTTGGACTCTATCGTGTGTTCCCCCTCCTCTCCCGGCCTATGGCCAAGAGGTGGGGTTTCTTTAAATGGTGCCTTAAGTGCGGCAGCAAGATCCCCCCCCCCCCCAGATGGACACTAGCTTTGTTTTTTGTGCCTCGGGAAATCGCGCCGAGTGAACTCTTGTGATCATTGCACAAAGTTTTCGAAGCAGACAAGGAAGAACAGAGCTGCTAGACTTCGTGTTGCGCTTTTGGAGTTAGTGGTTTCACCGATGTCGTCACAGGACACTTCAGGGCATGCGTCAATGTCGACTGCTGCCTCGGCATCAACGGCTGCACTGTCCCCGATACCAACTCACACAGATGTCGACCACCCGATGCTGAAATGCTCGGCCCAGACAGAAAAGTTAGCCGACTCTCAAAACAAATGGCAGGCCTTGATTAAGGCCGCCAACGCAAAAGACAGCAGAGAATTCTGGAAACTGGTTTTGAATTCCAACAGACAACTCGGCAATGTACCAGCCAGTAAGATTCCACCAAAACTCTGGGAAAACCATTATTCGACTCTATTCAGTGCCTATCACTCTGTTTCGTTTATTACCACCCCTCTCGAGAACATTCCCTCCTGGGACCCGGTCTCTGCACAGGAAATTGAACATCTAATTAACAACTTGAAAAAAGGCAAAGCTCCAGGCAGTGATTTTATCACTGCGGAAGCTTTAAAGGCCAATCTTGATTGGTGGGCCCCAATTTTGGCCAATCTTTTCACCTATATAGATCAATCTGGCCAAATTCCAGCTGAATGGGGTCTCTCCATAATAATTCCCATATACAAGAAAGGCAATAGATCTGACCCGAACAACTACAGACCAATTAGTCTGTTAAACATTATCTGTAAGCTATATTCACAATATCTTTGCCTTAAATTGTGCGCTTGGTTGGCAACCGAACATATTATCTCAGTCCTTAGCCAATACTCCCTCCAAAAATGCAGGAAAGGGCAGTATGGTCAGCCAGTCAAGCTTAAAAAGCATACGAAAACTCCCTCTGTGCAATCTCCGCTGACCACATTGGAGGGCCACGGAATCGAATCTTTCAGGGGCTGCTTCACTTGACTCTTAGTGCCGACAGCAGCCACAAGGTGTACCTCGGTCGTCTTCGCTGTGTCCTATGCAGCTCACGGACTCTGAGCATGATATGGACTTGACATAGATCTCCTGGTCTTAAAGTCTGCACCGTGGAGCCGATGCATCTGTCTGTCCTTCATAGCTCCGACCTGATGATCGAGACCGACCATCGGCGCTGATCCACCTGCCACCACCGCCCTCCTGGGACCAACGGCAGTGGCAATACATGTATGGGGCCTACCCATTTACAAGCAGTATGCTGTGGTCCCACCCCAAGCGATGGAATGGGATCATCAGTCCGCCTCTTCACGTCTCTCCCCCAACCGTCGAGGCTAACGGGCAAACCCTCCAAGCCATCACACCCGACAATTCCAAAGTTTAAAAATCCACCGGATCCGATTCCATCGATACTGATGCCATGTATGTCTTTTTCCAAATCGTCTGAGCACTCCGCCTCTTCAGACACTTCTTCCCAATCAGGGGACGAAAACCCCGATCCTTCAGTGGAACCCTCACCACCTCAACAAGTGGGCGATGATCTTCCGATCTCCCCTTCGGAAGACTTAAAATCCTACAGGGATTTCATCAAGCGAATGGCTGACACGCTCACTCTGTCTACGGTACGGCCCTCGCCTACTGTTACAGACTCCGTGTTCAATATTGTCCAGTTGGACACCTCTATCCTGGTTGCCTTACCGATGACTTCAGTCCTCCTTCAGGCGGCTAAAGTCCCATGGTCCCGTCTCGAGCTGGAGGGTAGATCATATGTATAAGGTGCAGGAGCAGGGTGCTGAATTTCTGTTTACTCACCCTAAACCTAATTCTGTGGTAGTCACTTCTTCCTCCAAGGGCAGACGCAGTCATTCCACCCCCTCTGAGAAAGAAGGAAGGATACTTGATTTGTTTGGAAGAAAATTTTATTCTGCAGGAGCACTTGGCATCAAGACCTCAAACTATATGGCATGTATGGGGAGATATCAGTTTGCTCTTTAGGAGCAGATGTCTGAATTTATTGCAACCCTCCCCAAGGACGGTAACCGTCAGGCTTGCAGGATTCAAATGGAGGGAATGCTTTTGGCTAAGCATCAGCTCAACGCAGCTAAGCACACATTGGATGCAGCCGCCAAAATGCTGACTTCATCTGTTACCCTCTGACGTCACGCCTGGTTGCGTTCTACTGACCTACCGCAGGCCAGGACTCTCATTGAGGACCTTCCATTCGAAGGTGAGGGCCTTTTCAATGCCACGACTGATACGGTCCTGCAAGACCTAGACAAAAGTATAAAGACGTTGCAAAATTTAGGAGTCACGTCGGCTCCTAAACTATCCAAAGCTGGATCCTGGAACAAGCCATGGTCTTGCAGATCCTCTCTTAAGTCGTCCCCGGAAACGCAGTGGCAATGCTCACCCACTGTGTCTTCCCGCCCTTATGGGGACAAAGCTAAATTCTCTTCCGTCTCTCAGTCTAAGGCTAAGACTTTGAAAGCTTCCAAGCAGAGCCTTTGACTCCTGTCATCCCACCCCTACCCGCCTGTCTCCCTGCCTGGCTGCTTGGCAGTGAATAACATCAGACCGGTGAGTACTTTCCGTCATCAAAAAGGGGTACATCATAGAATTTATCCAGGTACCTGAGGCCCCCAACTTCATAATTACTCCACCATCCAGTATGGTCCTGGAAGAAATCCAGAACCTTCTTCAAAAGGACACCATCGAACCAGTCCCAACAGCACATGGTCACCACGGGTTCTATTCCCGTTATTTTACAGTCCCCCCAAAAGATGGAGGATTCCGTCCTATTATGGACCTCAGGGGACTCAACCAGTTTATCTCCTATCAGAAATTCCGAATGACAACATTAGAAAGCATTCTCCCCCTTCTCAGCAAAGGTGTCTGGATGGTAACCCTGGACTTGCAAGACACATATTTCCATGTAACTATCCACCCATCTCACAGGAAGTTTTTGTGTTTTGCGGTCGCAGAAGGCCATTTTCAGCCTTCATTGAGAGTCCATTTTATCAGAACAATTTTGGATTCAACTGTCTGCTGAGCCTTTCTCCCTCCCAAAAGGGCGGGAGACATTATCACTCTCATCACCCTGATAGAATCACAGGGAGATGCTTCAGCAAACCACCCGCCCTCCTTCCCCCCTGCTTTCGGTCTTCTCCTTTTTATTACTCAGAGACTGATGGCAGTGGTCAGAAGGAACTGGCGGGATTGCCGTGCCCCTCCTTTGGTCAAGCGCAGTGGGGCCGGCGCATAACTGTGGAGCGGGTGCGAAAATCCCTTTCGCTTTCAAGAGGAACCGATCGAGGTCGGCGCAGGCACACTATATCCCAGAGGTGTGAATGCACAGATGATCACTCGAAGATCATCAGTTACAGGTAAGCAACCTGTTTTTCTCCAAGCCAGTTTGGCCAGGGATCCTGGAGGGGATTTTTCTGTTTTCTGGGCATGGAGCAGGGGTCACTGGGGGCGTGGGGGTATTTGTGAATTTCCTGCATTGTGAAGGGGTTGGACTAGATGACCCTGGAGATCCCTTCCAACTCTATGATAGTGTGATTCTAATACTTTGTAACTAAGAAAGTATTTTGTGTTGTAATTATATGTATCACATGGATTTTGTAGGAGCGTTTATCCCTGGAGTACCAGTCCAGCCAGTGATTTTACGTTATCCAAACAAACTGGTAAGTTGAATATGTGTTGAGTGCAGAAGATGTGGTGATGAGAGCCAATTTGGTGTAGTGGTTAAGAGCGTGGACTCTACTGGTGAACCGGGTTCGAATCCCCACTCCTCCACATGAAGCCAGCTGGGTGACCTTGCGCTCTCTTAGTCTCCGAAAGCAAGTCTAGCTCACCACCTAGTGATGCACAATGCTAAGAGGTAGAACTTGTGGCTGCCAGACAATCGTAGGATCTCCTGGCTATTCTACACACAATGCTATCTATATATCATTTCCCAAAGCCTGTTCTCCATATGGATATTTATTTCTGCCCACAGAGGGCTCGCTCTCCCCCAGCAGCTTTTTCTACAGACTCAGGGGACTTCCTGGTTCTGAAGAAAAATCATAAAGTTAAAAACCTGGGAAGGGTTGAATATGCCCCCCCAATACCTTTTGAAATGGCCTCTGCAGGGATCTACTCCAGGCATCAATGGTGAGAGATGAGAATGTTTGGGGGGGAGGCTTCTAACTGGCTCTGTCAGTAAAAGGCGGGGGGGGGGCTTTCCAGGCCTATTTTGGCCTGTGAGGGAGGGAGCTTTGGGGCCAGGCCTGACAAAGGTTACCAGTGCCAGCCTGGGGAATTCCTAGAGGTTTTGTGGTGGACTCCAAAGAGGGCTGGGTTTGGGGAAGGGAGAGGCCTCAGCTGGGTATAATGCCACGGAATCCACCCTCCAAAGCAGCCATTTTCTCCAGGGAGACAGATCTCTGCTGTCTTGAGTTCAGTTGTAGTTCTGGGGGGGGGGGTGTCCTCCACGCCACACTTAGAGGTTGGCACCCCTAGGCCTGGCAGCAGTTTAGGGTCGCCAGGTCCCCCTCTGGCCACCGGCAGGGGATGGGGGGGTAAGGTTGCCAGATCCAGGCTGGGAAACTCCTGAAGATTTGCGTGTGGAGCCTGGGGAGGACAGGGACCCTCAGTGGGGCACAGTGCCATAGAGTCCACCCTCCAAAGCATCCATTCTCTCCATGGGAAGTTATCTCTGTAGTCTGGAGATGAGCAGTAATTCCAGGGGATCCCCAGGTCCCACCTGGGGGCTTGCATCCCTAGGCAGCACCCTCTGGGTGACTTGATACCACCTGATTTGCATGACTCAGCTAGGCCCAGCTGCTTGCTACTATTCATCGGCAGCCACCCTATGAGAGCCAGTGCGGTGTATCAGTTAGAGCTTCAAAGTAGGGTCTGCGAGACCCAGGTTCAGAGCCCCATCTTGCGGTGGAATCTGACTGGGTGATTTTGGACCAGTCACATGCCTTCAGCCTAGCCAGCCTCACAGGATTGCTGTGCAGATAAAAAGGAGGAGAGAATAATGTAAGCTGCTTTGGTCCCCACTGTGGAGAAAGACTGTAATTTTCCTAGGTAGAGGCTGTGGGGGAGTTGGGTGCAGACGGAAAGCTGAAGACAGAGAGGCAGATAAAGGTAGGTTGGCTGTTGGGTGGGAAGGACATTAGGTTGCCAACTCCACGTTGGGAAATTCTTGGACATTTGAGGGGTGGAGTCTGGGGACGGTGGGGTTTGAGGAGGGAAGGAGCTTCAGACTGGTATAATGCCATAGACTCCACCCTCCAAACCAGCCAATTCCTCCGTGAGAACTACCATTGCCAACCCCCAGGTGAGGGCTGGGGATCACCCAGAATTACAACTGTTGCCAAGGTGACAGAGATCTTTCCCCCTGCATAAAATGGCTGCTCTGGAGGGTGGAGTCTGTGGCATCATACCCTGCTGAGGCTGCTTCCCTTCACAAGCCTTGCTGTCCCAAGGCTCCGCCCCCAAATCACCAGGAATTTTCCAAACTGTAGCTGGGAGATCTGTTGTGATTCCTGGAGAGAGGCTGCTGTGCAGGGTGGGGGAGGAAGCAGGTAGGAGGCTGGCAGAGTGATGGGGGGCAGAAAGAGTGATGGGGCGGGGGGGCAGAAAGGGAGAGAAAGAGTGATGAGGTGGGGAGGTAGAAAAACAAAGAGAATGATGAGGGGGCAGAGAGATGAAGTAACATGCCTGGAGGAGAGATAGAGAATAAGAAAAGGCAGAGCAGAAGGGAGAAAGAGTAGGGAGTGAGAGAGGTAGGGGAAGAGGGGTGGAAGCAAGAGTGAGGAATGGGATAACCATCCCGCAAGTTCCTTGTGGGTCTCCACTTGTTTCATCTCTAAAATGGATGCAAATATTGAAAAATGGACCATTGCTCTCCAACATTTCCACAAATGGTCATTCCCTCCAACATATCCATTAATGCACACTGAAAAGTCCCCCAAAGGCCTTTGTCTCAGCCAGAATAGTACTCTCATTTGCAAAATGTATGATGTCTTTATATCTCAGAATTACTGCACTGTGGTTTCTGTCTGGAAATACAATACTAGGATGATTAAAGCTGCCACCTATTATATTACTACAGTAACTTTAGGAGTACTGATAGCACTGAACAGAATGTTTCTTACACAAGGCATGTACTGTCCTTTTTATTCCATTGACAAGACGACAATGGATAGGTTACCGGTGTTGACTCCCAAATGTCAGACTGTAAACAAAATGAGGTAGTGGGAGATGAGAGGAAGCAACGGTGTGAAGAGGAATGGGATAACCATTCTGCAAGTTTCTTGCGGGTCTCCACTTGTACGATAATAATGATGTGCTGATGTGTATAGATAATAAGCAGCTGATGGAGACTGTGTTCTCAAATGTATGTTCTGCCAAGTAGAGCATTATTTATCTGGAGGATTACTGGCAACTCTTTGTCCCTCACGGTTTCATATTTAATATATGTCAGAGTCAAAAGGGTAACGTGCTTCAGTGTTGCTCTAGAACTGTCTGAAATGTGAACTTTTTGCACACCTTGCTTCTTTAAAGGGGGAGGAGCTACTGTGTTCCCCATAGTGTTCCTTACAACCTACTCCAGTACTAGCCAGAAAGCCCATGTTTGGTGTCGTGGTTAAGTGTCCCGACTCTAATCTGGGAGAATCGGGTTTGATTGCCCACTCCTCCACTTGCAGCTGCTGGATGACCTTGGGCAAGCCAGAGTTCTGACAAGAGCTGTCCTTGAAAGGGCAGTTCTCTCAGAGCTCTCTCAGCCCCACCTGCCTCACAGGGTGTCTGTTGTGAGGAGGGGAAGGGAAAGGAGTTTGTAAGCTGCTCTGAGACTCCGAGTGAAGGGCAGGGTATAAATCCATTCTCCTCTTCTTACATGTAATGGCCATAACTCAGATACTGAATTTTCCTTATGCTGGATTAGCACTCCAGCAGAAAACTACAGTGGGAAAGGATGCTGTCTATGGGACTTCTGTTTAACCGCCTTTGAAATCTGCCTCCATTGCAAGTATTTCCAGTAGTGTTGTGAAAAATATATTGTTAGCAGAATGGAATCTTTCTTTACTAATTTCTCATTAAGGCAGCAACCTTTCACTTTTACCTGAGAGTTCACATGAAGGGGTACCCTGTTCATCCCATAATTGGAATGTTGATTCTGTATTACTAGAGGCACTGAATTCCTTTTTCAGTATGCTTGTAAGTGGGAGGAATTCCTAGTTATCTATAAACCTTATTATCTTAGTTATCTATTGGCATTCCAATAGTAGACAGCTGCTTCAAGGTCAGATGTTTTTTGTTGCATTTTTCAAAATGATGCTGGTTTTATTTAACCAAACAACATGCAGTGTAATACAATGAAAAAGCTTATCACCAACTTTGGAATGTATATCTTTTGTATGTGCAGGATACAATCACATGGACATGGCAAGGCCCAGGAGCGTAAGTCTACCTACATATTTCTCTGTTCCGTTACCATAATTATTTTGTTCACTGCTCAGTGCTGTACGAAAAATTTATGTAACAATCTGAAAACCAGGTCTCACAGCCTTGGATTAAGAGTAGGTTGTAACATTTCTAAAGATAAATGTACAAAATGATGCCTGTTTTGACAGATTAGAAAAATAATCACCTGAGGCTGAATGAATTCTAGCTTGCGATCTGCTTATGTGACATACTTTAAAAAAAAAACCTTGCAGTGCTTTTACTGCTTTTCAGTCTTTTTTTTTAATGAGTATAACTGCATATATGAGCATATTGAGGCTAACTGGGAGACCAAAACAGACCTGGAAAGGGACCACACACCTCTCCTGCTGCTGTGCCCATTTCACCTCATGGAGGGGCAAAGAGCCAGCTGAAGAGAAAAGGCTACACCATTGTGCTCCTCCTTGCCAACTGCACCCAACTCAGGCCAGCCAGCAGGGCAAAAGTAGGCATAGCCACACTTCTCCTGCTTGACGTAAGGTGAAGCAAAGCACCAGTGCACCTGTGCTCCTCTTTGCTGGCCTGGGTGCAGTGGGGCCAATAAGTAGGAATACGGGTACTGCTGGGATAGGGCAAAGCTGTGCCCAGGCTCCTCTTCAGTGGCTTGGGAATGGTGTGGCAGGCAAGGAGGAATATGAGTGCCACTGGTATACAGCAGAGCTCAGTGCTGATATGCCCAGGATCCTGTTTTCTGGCTTGGACAAGGAGGAACATAGACACAGTAGTTCCCAGCATCATCCTAAGGCGGGATAACCCATACTTTTCACCTTTCATCGGACCTACGGTGGAGGGGGGGCGCCTTAGGGCAGCAGCTCACTGGGATTTCCCCGGTAAAGTAAATAGCCAATATGCCTCTGAAGCAAATCCCAATATTGATACATGCTCTGTCCTCTGGCTGATCTGTTCACGGCTGCTGTGACCTCTTCGTGTTGAGGAATGAGGTGCCCTGCAGCCATCTCAGGAGCTTGGCTTTGGGATGTTTTCATTCCTGAGGAAAAGACATGAATGGAACTAGGCTGGCTAAGGCAACCAGTTGCAGGTTGCTTTCTTACCCGATAGCAGAAAGATGACATGGCAGTGATGGATCAGCCGGCCAAGGGCTATGGGATATGTAATTTGGTTTGTTTATTATTAGTCTCCTGGATAAATCAGTTCTCAACACCAGCCAGTTTGTAGAAAGCTAACTGTATTGAGACAGTTGATAGATACCATTCTAGACACTTCTATTGTTAGGACTGAAGTTAAACGTGTGAAGGTTGCAGATATAGTGGATTCAAGTAAAGGCACTAAAGATCAGGACCCAATCCCCCTACGGTATTTGCCTGCCAGAACTAACCGCCAGCTCCCCCCCCCCTTCCCCCATAGGCACGTAGCCTTTACCTAGTAAGGAAAACAGGATCACAGACATTTGAGAAGCCAGGACATTTGGCATCACTAGGGTGACAAGCCCCGGGGCACATCAAAGAGAGCGATAGAGGAACCTCCTCTCCCAATGACAGGCGAGCTGCAAAATGCACAGGGAGACTGACAATTATGATATAGTTACATAACCTATTGGGAAGAACTACAAACACATTTGCAGTGCTGTGAGCCTCTGTTTAATGTATGTCCGCTTGTAGTCTAACAATTTCCTCTGCAGACATTTATAACGTTGTTAGCTGCAGAATTTCTAACATGTCCTTTTGGATTCATATGTGTTTCTTTCATTTTTAAAGGTTGAAAATTCTGTGGCTTACTTTATGTCAGTTTCACAATTTTGTGGAAATTGAGGTTAGTATAAAAAGACAAGTCTCTCTTAAGTATTTGTAGACTCTCTCCATGAACAGTATAAATTAATGTAATGTTGCACTGTTTTCTATTTTCTAATCACATCTTAAATATATAAAAGAAAGTCCCCTCACCAGAAAATCAACACCCAGGCCAAACCGCTGGACCTAGAGACACCAAATTCGGGGAGAGCGCACCTACCATGTCGTAGGTGCTCGCTAAGAAGGGATTTTTAGAAATTCGACCCCTAAGTGGGTCAAAAGGGGGAAAATGTGCTCCCCCCATTGATTCCTATGTGGCTCCCAGGCAGCTGCCTCTCTGCACCCCCCACTCTCTGATTGGTCAGCTGCAGAGCTCAGTGTTCTGAGGTAAAAAAAAACACCAACAGTTACAGGGGACTGCAGAGAGCTAAGGAAAGTTGAGGAAATCAGGAGTGGCCAAGAACCACCTGTGAGGTGAAGCAAAGCTGCTGGCCCAGCCTCTCTGATGGCTTCTAACACACTCCCCCACCTCCTCACCTCTTACTGTCCCCAAGAAAGCTCCTGGCAAACGTCGAGCCAGATACACCAATGCTACAAGGAGGAGGCAACTTAGGAATGCGGCAAAGGCATTTGCACAGAGTACTCCTGCAGTGCACTGAGCTGCACAGGCCAAGTACCAGCAAAATCACCCTGAGGTGCTCAGAACAAAACCGTCTCCATATGAGCAAAACAAACCAGGAACACAAGTAGAGAGGCCATCACTTTCGTGGAAGGTGGCAGGAGTGGACTTAACAGACGACTGCTTCTTAAATGGACTGTATGTCTCACTTCATTTCTTACACTGCAATCTTCTCTGTTAGAATTCCTACAACAAATGTCACATTTCAAATTTCACATCTGATGTATTATAACTGGATTTACGGAACTTAAATACTGTAGCGAAGCACGGGTAGCAGGCTAGTATGTCATATGAGAAACCTCGATTTGGTGAAACCAACTAAACAGAATCAATTGTGAATTTTCCTGCACAAGGTGTCTTCATACTGGAATGTTATCTTAGCACTTTTAAACTAGAGCTGACCTGCTGCTTAAGATGAGTCATTCCTGATATACACAGTTCCTTCCAGAGAAAGCTCAGATGTATAATCTCTCCTTATATATAATTGTGAAGTGGGGTGGCACTTTCTGAACATTTCAAACTCCTAAATCAGTTGGCTCCATGATGTGTCACACAGAAGCTGTCCCTATCCATTGGCTGTGTTGTCTGAGTCCTGCCTCCAACATTCCAAACAGTTTGCTGTTCCTCTCCCCCCATAGCCAGTCAGAACACAGAGGTTGTTTGCATATGTGGCCTGATTGGCCTTTGCCTCTAACATTCTAAATAGTTTGCTGTTGCTTTTGGCAGTCATTGAATGTGTCCTGAGGTAAATTACATAGCCCAATCTTCCCTTAAATGGTCACTGGAATTGCCAGTCTCCCTGTGAGGCCTGGAGAGCTCCCAGAAATCACCGTGTTCCCCAGCCACAGCATATCATTTCCCCTACAGAAAATTTCCCAGCTGTTGCAGCTGATCTCCAGATGACCCAGATCAGTTCTCCTGGAGACAATGGCTGCTTTGGCCAGTGGACTCTATGGCATTATACCCTGCTGAGGTCCCTCCGCACCCAAAACCCTGCCCTCCCCAGGCTCTACTCCTCAAGTCTACAGGTATTTCCCCACCCAGAGTTGGCAACCGTGTAACTGGCTATGGAACCACTTTCCAGACCTTGGAACCCAGAAAACATGGCATAGGAGGAGGTGCTTTTCTACCTTAGCTGCCACTGCATAACCCCAAATCAGCAGAAGTCAGGGGTGGAGGGAACCATACCTGTTACCATGAGGCTGTCCTCCCAGACTACCCACTTGGGGCAGCAAAATGACTTGAGACAGCCCTGCCTTCAAGCTAAGCAGAAGGAAATAAACATGGCTTGCCTCCCTCTATTTTCCCCTTCCCTCTGCCGCCCCACCAGCCACAGCCGGGACACTCACCTGGAGCTTCCTTATGGGGCTTGTTGTATTTCTTCCCACAACGGGCCTTACTTCTAGTTTATACTAAAGCTAAAACGACTTAGGGTGATATTGCATGCTTTCTTTGAGCAGGACAGCTCTAACGTCTTGGAGAGTATCATGCCATAGATGTATCAGAAATCGGAGAGTACAGTAGTGGGAATGTACTCACTAGGTGGAACAGATCAAGATGGGCAGCTGTGTTTGTCTGTAGGAGTAGGAAAAAGCAAGAGTCTAGTAGCCCCTTAAATTTGTGGCAGGGTATGAGCTTTCATGAGTCATTGCTCACTTCTTTAGATACAGCTAGAATGCGATTCCATCTACCTATATAATTGGAGAGTAGAGTGATTTCAGATGCCAAATGACAATAGCAGGTGTGATTGGATTAGATGTAATATGCCGAGGGACAAATAGACATGGAGAAATCAGCATTGGTAATGAGGCAGGATACCTAGGTCTCGATTCAGTCCAGGAGAATGCATTGTCTTGAGCTTCATTATAAGTAGCAATTCAGTAGTCTCTCTTTCTAATCTCCCTTTGAAATTCCTGATAAAAATATTATTCTGCTTGTAGTTCCTCCCTGTGTACATACCTTCAGAAGAGGAGAGGAACAATCCTTCTTTGTATGCAAATAATGTGAGACGGGTCATGGCAAAGTAAGTGAGTTAAGATTTGTCAGATATATTGATTTGATGTGCATGTTATGTTGTATATATATGAAACACTGTACAAAAATGATTCCTCATACTTAAGACAAACTACTTGGTGAAGAAAAAATTGCCTTTGTTGGGTTGTGCTGAGATTTGAGCTAGGATTGGAGGGAAGGGGGTTCCTGAAGGCTAGCCCCATTGACCAGCTGTCACATCTATTCCTGAAACAAAGCTGATTTCTGCCTGTATTTTGCCTGCTCCAACAGCAACATCTTTTTTCAGTGGATGGGATAGAAAAGCGATGGTGATGGAGAGATCTCCTTCATCTTCGTTGTGGTCTCTGCGCATCACACCCATGGGATCCAGTGCACCTGTGCTGATCTGGTGTTGTACAAAGTTCACATCGGGATTTTCGTGCCTCCACCCTGGGCCTTCACGGGAACCCTACTGCGCATGCCCAAGGGGGTGGGGCATGAATATCCCACCAGTTCTTTTCTGACTGCCACACTATTAACAGCTCGTCTGCTGGTTGGTGCTTTTCAACTTACCGCATATGTTGGGAAACCTTTGTTGTTTTTTCTTTGGACTTTTGCCTTTTTTATTTTCTTGTCCTTTTTCTTGTTCTGGGGGGGGAAGGACTCTTTTTTTAAAAAAAACTTATTTTTGGCTTCGGCCGTTCCCCTCGCCCTGAGGGTCTTAGCCTATCCTGCTCTGTTTATGACTAAAAAGTGGGGCTGTTTCAAGAGGTGCACCAAGTGCGGGAGCACACTTGCCCCACCAGATGGCCACACTCTCTGTATTTTGTGTTTGGGGGAATCTCATCAACCTGAGGGCTGCCCACACTGCGCAAAGTTTTCTAATCAAACCAAAAATAACAGAGCTGCGCGGCTGTGGGTAGCTTTGTGGGAATCCGCTCTTGCCCCTCCTCTGCAAAATTGATGGACTCAGACACTTCCTCCAGACCTTCAATGGCATCAGCTCCTCCATCGAAATCGGCATCTGACTCGGGACCATCGACTTCAAAGTGTTCGGTGTCGAAAACTCGATATTTTGCGTCGAAGTCTGCTAAAAAGAAGGAGAAGTCAGATAGCCATTTAGAGCTCATCCAAGGGTACGCATAAGTCTCTCGATATGAGCACCGCTGCCACCACCTCAGGCCCTGTGCAGCCACCTGTCCCACTTGTGCAACCCGTTGTCCCTCATTCTTCTGCATCAGAACTGTCACCACCTCCACTCACTCCTATTGAACTCTTGGCCCTGTGCAGCCACCTGTCCCACTCGTGCAACCCGTAGTCCCTCATTCTTCTGCATCAGAACTGTCACCACCTCCACCCGCTCCACCTATTGAACTCTTGGACTCTCCTATCAGGCAGTTGAACCCTCCGATGTCGGAAGCGCTGCTGGACACCAGACCCTTCTCTATATCAACCTCCGATGTAGACAAGGTTATGGTTATGAGGTCACTGAGAAGACAGCATTCCTTTTCGGGGTCCTCATGGGCGAGTGATCAGTCCGAGCCGCATCCTAGGAATGAATTCCACAGCCATCTATCCAGATCACCAGTCGGTGCTGATGAGCACCGTGGAAGGGAGGTGAGCCTTGACCGTGGTTGCCCTAGGCAGAGGCGTTGTTATTCTCCGAGACGTGAGTCACCTTTGGAATCACCATCTTGGCGCTTCCGCCAGCCGGCCCCTCCGTTTGTTCCTTGGGACCATTGGCAAATGGCCTACTGGTTTGGTGCCTATTCTCTGTCATCATCTATGCCATGGCTTACGCCTGACAAGCCATCGGACTGGGACCTACGATCACCTGGGTGTTCTCGCTCTCCCAGACCGCGTCTGAGCCTGCCATTGGTTTCGCTGTCGAAACCGCTGGCCTCTCCACCTAGACATCAGACCTCGCCTCAGCATCGACCATGTAGTCTTTCAGTACAGAAGTGCCCGATACTGGACACACACTTGAAACCTCCACTGCTGGGGGATGATGTCTCCAAAGAGGCATTGTCAACACTGATCCTCAAGTCGGCTTCGGATTCATCAGACAATGACTCAGACGGGGAACCTTCCAAGGCAGAGAGCTCCACTGAAGCACCTTCACCAAAACCAACAGTGTCGCATGATCTGCCGATATCACCATCTGAGGACCTGACATCCTATGGGGACCTGGTGAAGCGGATGGCACATTCCCTGGGTTTATCCATAGTCCAACCACAACCGTCGGTATCGGACGCAGTATTCAACGTCGTTCAGCTGGATACCTCCACAGCGATTGCTCTCCCGATGTCGATGGTCCTTCTTCAGGCTGCGGAGGCACCTTGGGGAAAACCCTGTTGGGCACCAGTGTCATCCAGGAGATTAGATCACATGTATAAGGTACAGGAGGCGGGAGCGGAGTTCCTATATACTCATCCCAAACCGAACTCAATGGTAGTTACGTCATCTTCGAAGTCCAGACATACTCACACCATCTCGGCTGATAAGGAAAGTAGGAAGCTGGATTCTTTTGGAAGATGTTGCTATTCTGCGGGAGCCCTGGGAATCAAGACGGCCAACTATCTGGCGTGTATGAGAGGAATCACAGTCTTCCCGTACATCGATGACTGGCTCCTGGTGGAAAGTTCCCGAGAACGCCTATCCAAAAATGTCAAGCAGACCTTGGCCATCCTGCAGAGATTAGGCCTATGAATGAACCACAACAAGTCCAACCTCAGCCCGTCTCAGAGGGTACAGTTAATCGGTACCATCCTCGACTCCTTGGTGTGCAGGGCGTTCCTACCACAGGACAGAGCTTGGAGTTTGGTGTCACTTGCCAAACAGATGCGGTCCCTGCGCGAGGTCACAGCCCACCTACTCCAGAGGCTTCTCAGTCTTATGGCTGCAACCACAGCCTTTCGCCAAATTAAGAATGAGGCCTCTACAGCTGTGGTTCTTACAACACTTCAGTGCAGCCAGGATGAGCCAGTCTGTCCTACTTCATCCACCCGTAAGTATAAGAAACTCTCTCATTTGGTGGACTTGTCTTATCTACCTGCCCCACTGCTGGACCTCCTGATGGCACCTGGTACTATGGCCACTGTGTGACAGAGTGTTGGACTGGATGGGCATTGGCCCGATCCAACATTGGCTTCTCTTATGTTCTTATGTAACCTGACACTTGGTGCCCCTTTCCACAAGCCACTGCCTCAGATGACTCTGACCTCTGATGTGTCCCTGTGGGGGTGGGGAGCGCATCTGAACAGACTCTGCATAGGTCACAGGTGGGACTCTTGCACAGCAACGCAGCACATCAATTACCTGGCGCTTCTAGCCATCCTGAAAGCCCTATGCTGCTTCCAGCCCCTGTTGATCGGGAAGTGTGTAGCTGTTCTAACGGACAATACGACAGTTCTCAGCTATGTCAACTAGCAGGGAGGAACAGTCTCAAGAAGACTGTGTCTCTTAGCCCTCGAAATCTGGGATTGGTGCATATCCCGTGAAGTGTTTCTCCTCGCCGCTCACATTTCTGGTGCTTTGAATGTTCAAGCGGATCTACTCAGCAGGGGTCAAGCCTGACTCCACGATTGGGAGTTGAATTGGATTTACCTCTGTCTGGTCTTCGCCAAATAGGGAAGGCTGGCAATAGACATTTTTGCCAATCGAGAGAACAGGAAATGCCCCCGTTCTGCTGTCGGGGGGATCAGATCTTCTCGCTCTCTGCGATGGTCTCCTATTCCCCTGGAACCAGGGGCTTCTCTATATGTTCCCTCCTCTCCTGCTTCTCCCAAGAGTTATCCAAAAAGTGGCTCTAGTTGGGACAAATTGCATTCTGATTGCGCCGTGGTGGCCAATGGCAACTGTGGTTCCCAGTGCTCATGGACCTCTCCAGAAGACTTTTTCATCATTTCCCTCATGCTTTGGATCTTCTTCTGTCAGCAGATGGACAGATGCATTACCACGAAGTCACCAAACTGAAGCTGACAGCGTGGCGCATAAGTCACTGCATCCTCATCACTCCTCGGTGGCCACGCCAAGTGTGGTTCCCACACACTTCAATGGCATCAGCTCCTCCATCGAAAGCTCATGTGCCTTTGACATCGAAATCGGCATCTGACTCGGGACCATCGACTTCAAAGTGGTCGGTGTCGAAAACTCGATCTTTTGCGTTGACGTCTGCTAAAAAGAAGGAGAAGTCAGATAAGAGCCATTAAGAGCTCTTCCAAGGATACACATAAGTCTCTCGATATGAGCACCGCTGCCACCACCTCAGGCCCTGTGCAGCCACCTGTCCCACTTGTGCAACCCGTTGTCCCTCATTCTTCTGCATCAGAACTGTCACCACCTCCACCCGCTCCACCTATTGAACTCTTGGACTCTCCTATCAGGCAGTTGAACCCTCCGATGTCGGAAGCGCTGCTGGACACCAGACCCTTCTCTATATCAACCTCCGATGTAGACAAGGTTATGGTTATGAGGTCACTGAGAAGACAGCATTCCTTTTCGGGGTCCTCATGGGCGAGTGATCAGTCCGAGCCGCATCCTAGGAATGAATTCCACAGCCATCTATCCAGATCACCAGTCGGTGCTGATGAACACCGTGGAAGGGAGGTGAGCCTTGACCGTGGTTGCCCTAGGCAGAGGCGTTGTTATTCTCCGAGACGTGAGTCACCTTTGGAATCACCATCTTGGTGCTTCCGCCAGCCGGCCCCTCCGTTTGTTCCTTGGGACCATAGGCAAATGGCCTACTGGTTTGGTGCCTATCCTCTGTCATCATCTATGCCGTGGCTTACGCCTGCCTGACCGTCGGACTGGGACCTACGATCACCTGGGTGTTCTCGCTCTCCCAGACCGCGTCTGAGCCTGCCATTGGTTTCGCTGTCGAAACCGCTGGCCTCTCCACCTAGACATCAGACCTCGCCTTTCGGTACAGAAGTGCCCGATACCGGACACACACTTGAAACCGCCACTGCTGGGGGATGATGTGTCCAAAGAGGCATTGTCAACACTGATCCTCAAGTCGGCTTCGGATTC